AAAAAACCGTTTAACGAAATATTTTGGCGTGGAATTGCCATTCGATTCGATTTTCTCCCTGCGGGACGTGACCGATAGTCGGGACGTTCCGTTCTGGCCGACGATCGCGCCTCGTGGTTGCGTACCTTGGAAAAAGAGATGGAAACGTTAGATCATTCTGGGTGATGATTCTACGGAATATCGAGGAATTAGTCCCTTGCCGTAGCTCGGGATTTTGTACTGCGCGGGGTAGAGGCGGACGACAAAATTCCCGGAAACTGGAGATCGCAAAATATGTTTTCCTTTGATCCTTTATATTTTTTATTACAGGGTCGACAAGTAATTTCTGAAGTTGGTTCGAGTTTGATAACCATGAGTCTAGCCCGTTATTACGTGTTAAAGGGGTTAAGAGGTTGGGTAATTCTTAAAGCACTTACCTTGGTGGAAATCTTTGTAGTCTAAAGTGCAGAGGGCGTTCCAGGAATTTTGCGACACCGGTTTGGTTGCGCCCTGAATAGCTTGGTCGTTGATTTGTCCCGATCTCGTTGCAGCTTGCCGAATTCGCAGCACCCTGGCTGGTAAAGAGTTCGATTGTTCATTGAACCAAGGGCCCACCAGGCGGCGCGTTCAAGTAACGAAATTGGGCATGGCTTATTTGTCGGCTCTTGTTTTTCTCTCGGCGCGGACGGTTAGGCCAGACTCACAATGGTCCCGCACGAAAGCATGCGGGCAATTTCTTCCCTCCTTTTCTTCTTCCCTGGGCCTCTCGTGTTTTTTTTTGGACTTCCGAGGACCCAGGACGCTTTCCGGTTAGCCGATCTCGCAAGAAGCTCTCGAAGGGAGTCTCCACCAACTCGACAGAGATTCGCGCCAAATACACATGTCAGCGCGGTAGACGACCTAGGTCCGTTCTCGAACCTCACTTTTAGGGTTAAAAGACGCTTTTTAAAGCTAGGTCTAGCCGTTAGTACTTGACGTGAAACTCTGCCTAATTTTTAATCCTTTTTTTGAACTTCCAAAGACTTAGGACGCTTTCGGATAAGTCGATCTCGCAAGAATCTCTCGAAGGAACTCTCCACTTCTTTCCTTCCGTATTAAAATCAACGTCAATAACCTCTTTTCTCGATATACCTGAAACTAGAAAAAAAAAGTGGGTGTATACATACAATGTATATATACAAATATTTGGCGCGAAACTCAACCGACTTTCCCAATACCCAGTTCTGACTTCAACTTAGAATGCTTTCCGATCACCGCTCAAGAGCCTCTTCGAGTCTCCCCTCTTTTCCCTCGGCGTCGATATCAACGTTAGTGACCTCTTTCCTCGACGTATCCGAAACCGAGAAAAACGAGGACGAGGATGAGGAAAGAAAAATGACGCAACCCGGGGAGGTCCGGAGCAAACGGCAGTCACGCCCCTGCAACGGGGATCTCTTTCGAGAGGAGACCGAGATGACTATCGTGGCGGGCATTAGCATCGGCTGACCTTTCGTCTCCACAGTCGAAGCTGTTCAGGATGGACCGGGAAATGATTATTCCTATTGTTGGCACGGTAGCCGGAACTTTTTCGCCTCTTGGCTCCGGCCATTGGGGGCGTCGAGAGTCGAATTCCCAGCGCGCGTATTCGCCGCGCGTCAGGAGGTCGCTGCGACGTGCAGGAAGTGAAAACGACCGGGTTCGGCCTAGGGCTCTTCCAGGGCCTCCAGGGGACCTCGTCGAGGTCAGAATGAGAATCCGCCCGGCACGTATCCATGCGACACGCCCGTCACGCGTGTTTCCGAAACCTCTGTCGGTCTCTGGCAAGACTTTCACGAGGTGGCTTGCAAGGCTAGGACGAGGGCGGGGCTCTCTTCGCTTTCGTCGTCTTCGCCAGACTCGAGGCTCGAAAGGAGACTTTCCTCGCTCTTAAGAAGTCCCTCGAGATATTCCCTGACCCTCGACTCCGCTACATCGATGGCGTTCCCTGCCTTAAGCACTTCAGAATTTCAAGGGTCGACCTTCCGCTGGATGCTTTTTTCCACTCGACGAATCGGACTGTTTGCGCTGCACGAGTTCGGGGACGAGTTTTGTTTTGCAGCGAATTTTCTGGCTATCACGTAATATCATAGCACTCAACGTCACGTGTTTCTTGCTTAGAAATGTATTTGGTTCGAAACTCTGCCGAGTTTTTTCAATGACCATACATAACAAATTCTTAAAAATTGGTCGGCCCATTTTCACTGTTTTATATCCTTTGGAGCGAGTTTGAAGTTTTTACTAGAAATACTGAATTTGTTATGCGCATAGAGTTGCGCGCCAAGGACACGTCTCATCTCCCTGCTTAAACGTAATCAAAAGCACGTCCACTTCTTCTACGACTCTAAATATTACGGCCGTGAGTATATTTTCCTTTGTGAGGAATTGCGCGCCAAGGATACGTCTCATCTCGCTCTTTGTTGACCGAAGTCCGTCAGGTTTGCAGAAGGAGGTGCTCTCGAGCGACAAGGAGCCTCGGAGAGCGTGCCTCGGCTCCGCATCGGCCGAGGTCGAAAGACGCGACCGCGAATTGACGTGATTGCCGCAGTGACGTAACCACTTGGAATCAATCGGTCGCATTTCCTTCGGCGTGTCGTGCGACCGAGTCGAGAGGGCAGCCGGGTCGACGGTCCCTCCTTCTGTCACCCGAGATGACCGAGTTCTCGAAGGGGAAGCACCGACCATCCGCCTCTTCGGGCCTCTCTCACGGTCCCAAGTCGAATGCACTCATTGGCTCATTCACGATCGGCCCGGGAAAAGTAGATTCCCGCCACTTGACCCCCGGGACGCGTGATTCATCCGTAAGGAAGTCGGATCAATGAGTCCCCGGCTTAGTGCCCGTTTCCGCTTAATTCTTACCGATCGGGAAGGCCTCGAGTCGCCGTGAACATGAATAATGCATGAGCCGTTACAACGGTTTTATTTAAATTTACTAGTACAAGATTTATTTAAGAAAAAAGAATATATTTATATGAGGATTTCGACTTAATTCTTAACAATCGGGAGCACTTTGGCGAGGCGCCATTTCTGTGAATAATACGTGAGCCGTTATGAGGTATTTGCTTAGTTTCAATAATAAATGTTTCATTAATGTGAATTAATATATTTATGAGGATTTCCGCTTAATTCTTACCGACCCGGAACACTTCAAATCGCCGCTCCTGTAAATACTGAGACGTTAGGCGTATTTAATATTACGAATAAAAGATTTATCAATAAGAAGTAATATATTTATAAAGACAGGACGTCACTTGTAACGAAAGTGCCCTCAGGAGTATCTCGCTGGTATTTGTCGATTCCTGCATAAGTTATAGTACCTGGAAAACCAACGGTCGCGTATATTTTTCTCACAAATTCACGAGTTTGGGTTAAAAACCACCCTCAAAGTTAATCTCCATAAACCCTTATCTAACATTTCCTCGTAAACGGAATAATACGTATTTCTCAACCGGATCACTCGCAGTATCTTCAAATTCAACCTGCGAATCCAGTACTATTATACTCAGCTCCGAATGTCGAAAAACGGTTTTCCGCGGTCAAGTACCAGGTCTTTACGTGCCGTGAATGGTGTCGAGTGACCGGAAGAGCATTTTGAAAAGAGCGCCTCTGGTGTCGTTATCCGACATCCTTAGAGCTTCGAGACATCCGCCCGCCGCCCTCTGGGGCTCTTCCGTTCTGGGGAGAGCGCCCTCTAGACTCTTGCAGAGTCCGCGGCACTCTGGCGCCGCCGCGAGGGGCCTTGGTCGAGGCGGCGCGGACAAAGACGACAAAGGCCGGCGGGTCCCGCGAGGCGCGCGCGGACCAGTGTGCGGCGTGCGCGCGCACGAGTGCAGGCGCGCACGCGCGCTCGCCGTCTCGGGGGAGTCTCGCGCGACCGGCGTGCGCGCGCGCGTCGGTGGAATACTTTCACTGGTTTCACGGCCAGCAGACACGTTGCGCGATGCTAATAATACTCGTTCTCTCGCGCACACCGCCATTGCGATCGGGCCGGCCGCTCCTCTCGGGGACGCGTCCGTCGGGCGGACCCTCGCCGAGTGACGGGGTCCGGCCTGGTCCTCGACCTCGGCGATCGTTCGACGACCCTTGGGGGATATCGACTCCCCGGATCGTCGACCTTGGGCCGTCCGACGATCTCCGAATCGGTCCAATGGCTAGAAAATGACGGATTGTGTCTGCTCGAGCTGAAATTGTAACCCTTTGAACCTGCGTGGTTTCAAAAAGCTACGAAATGGTCATTCTGTATATATATGAAAATATTTATAAAACATAAGGAGAATATATTTATAAAAATTCTTCAAACTGGATGCACCGAATCGTTTGAAATTTCAGCATCTGATTAAGGGGGCCCTGCAGAAGAACGTGGTGCTCATGAAATTTCATTTTTTAAACAAATTTTGTATTTGTCCCAGACTATAATCATGAACGTATCTGTATTTTTTTTTCATGAAATTTCGCGAGCATTCTTCTTTAGGACCTACATAATCGCGTGTTGAAGTTTCAAATAATTCGGTGCATCCAGTTTGGAGATAAATTTTATAAATATTTTGACGCTTTGGTATGTATATAGCATGACCCTTTCATACCACCTTAAGGAAAATCGATTGAAGTTTACTTTTTAAATTACCTATCATCGTAATTTTGTCCGATTTTGCCTTTATTATTCCAACTTAGAATGTCTTAGCTAGACATTATACAAAAAAGTGCGATATTTCAATGCAGGCCGTGTATTGGTAGGTTCTACCCAGTATCTTTAGATTCCATGCTTGGAAAGTTCTTCTTTTAAAAGTCGCGTCGACCACGTGGCCAGATGCGTAACGTTCGGGGAATTCGTTGAATGGACTTTACGAGTCGGTCGTGCTCATCGAATCGAATTGCCGGTGGAAATGGAAACGAGTAAACTGGCCTTCCCAAGTGGCGCCTCCGTCGCGCGTTTTCCGATGCTTTATCGAGGACGTCTCTGCACGTGGCGATTTTTTTCCTCGACCGAGTCCTCGTTGATCGACGTCCACGGTCTGCACTAGACATCATTCTTCTCCTATTAATAAATTCTGGTCAATGACTCCTTAAACTACATTGAGCCATAAAGATCGCATTTCATCTCTCCAACTGTGTCGTCCGACGAAAAATTGAAAGATTCTGATTGGCTGCTGAAAGTCGACGTACTTTGCCGTAAGTAATATCCGACAATTTCTATCGTGTACACGTTCCACACTTCACAAAGTACATTTCACGTACAGGATGAAATTTGTATCTTTCGTAAATACACCTGTCGCCGTTGTTGGATGAATGGAAAAATACGACCTTAAGGGGAATTCCTTTTCAGGAGCACGAGGATCTTCTGGTCGCCATCTTGGGATGCGTTGATGCCACGGGCGTGACGTCACCGGTTTACGCAATACTCGTGAGATGAACTTCTGCAAGGAAGATTTAATGTCACTTGGGAGAATTACTCGGGGATCGCAATAAAGATGTTAATTGCAGAGTGGAAATGCCTCGCAGCCGGCATTAATCAGTAAATGAGTCACTTTTCTCGGCTACGACGTTCTTACGCTTTACCGTAGAAGGATGTGCAGCGGTGAAGATGCACCCGGATTTCTCGACCTCGACGACTCTCGGCGGATATCGACCCCTGCGATCATCTGGATCGCCGACCTTGACCTCTCCTCCCGTCATGGACGAGATCCGGATCGGTCGTTCCCGGGATCGCGACCTCTTCCCGCGGATTACCGGATCCGAGATTTCCCGGGACCGGAAGCGGTCGCGTAACATCCTGTAAGCGAATACTCGCCTGTCGTCATCGTGCTTTCGACTTCCGGTGACGAAGCGACGATCATTCTCGACAGTGCTTTCCGGGGTGAAAGTCGCCGTTTCCCTCGAGAGTCGCTTCTCTACTTCTTACCAAAATGTAAACTCGACGAGTATATCGGGAAATATCGAATTTTAAAAAGGTGACATGGATGTATAACTTAAAGGGGAAGAATACATTGTCATTTTTAAGGAGGAGGTGGCGAAAATATTCGACTTTTTTCAAATACATCATATATATACAACTGTCTCATGAATTAACGAATCAATATCACTAACCGGTTAATCATAATTATCAGCAAGTTAACAATTGGCAATAGCTAACAACAGTTATTAGACCAGTAATAATAACATTTGAGAAAGGCCGTTATAACACATGCTATATGTTTTTCGGGTATACGTGGAATTTCATTTCGTTCGACGAATACGCTGTCCCAAATAATCGCAGCACTAAGAGCTCGACATTACCCATATCTGATAACAATGTATATCGCTTAAATAACGAAGGTTACCTACATCTCGGCAATCGCAACTATATCTAACCCAAAATTGAGTCGCTATCTCTACATCCTAACGAATCCATCATGTCAGTCCCTAAACCGCCCGATTTTCGGAGTGCACCAATCAAATCGCAATCCTCCTTCGGTAAAAATGCCTCCCTTCTTTTCTCCAATCAACCGACTTCCTTTTCACGTACACTATCCTTCAAGATCGGTGACAGGTACGGAGGCGCGCGTCCCAGGATTTTCCCGAGTAACCCTCGGCGGAAGCAGGCCTCGTCTTCGTTATTGAGATTTCGAAACGCGGCCTCCCACACACGAGAGCAGCCTCCCATTGTCTTTTCACGCCCGTGGACAAACTAACGAGCTTTAAGGCATTCTCACACACGTGCCGCGGCACCCAACTATTCATTAAATTAGATAACAGCGAGTGGACGCTCGCGTGTCGGCCGCTCTCGCCCCTCTGCCGCTCTCCGCCGCGGGCCTTCCCCCTTCCCCCTCCCTCCCGCCGCCCGGCCGCGGTTCCCCCACTCCGTGGCATCCGTCCCCCCATCCCGTTGGTCGGCGCCCTTCGGCCCTCTCGCTCGCTCGCTCACTCGGCCGCCCTCGCTGCCTCTCGCGCTCCGCTGCCAGTGCAGCGCGAGGCGCGAGAGGGGACGGAGGGGCGGCGAAGGATGCCGCGCGCCGAGCCGGTGGGGTCGGGACCAGACAAGGTCACGGCTACCAAGTGCCGGTCGGCGGCGAGCGCGGCCATCTTGAGAATGTGTACCGTCATCGAATGCACCGAGAATAACAATAAATTATCTCTCGCCGCGCTCGCCGGCTGCGTTGTTGCCGTGCGTGTTCGCCCGAGCGCATCGTCTCGTTCCTCCTCGTGCGTTCCGAATTCGCGCGTAACGCGAGCCCCTTCCGCTCCTTCCGTCCCCCCTTCCCCCTCTACCGAGGTGTCCTCGCCACAGCCGACTTTTCCGCGTCTCCTCTTTTTGCTCCTTTCCCGCGTTTCCTGCGCTCGCTCGCTCTTGACTGCGCCGCACGTGGGACGCGTCAGTTAGGGACGCGGCCGGTTGGCGCGCGGTTTTTCGTCCCGCGGGTTCCGACCCACACGATCCATGTCTGTCGATTACCTACGTTCTGGTAAGTTCGAGCATACGTGGCAAATTGGACGTTTTGTAACTAATCGTCATGTAATAATCACAGATGGGGTCCGTTTATTCAGATCACGGGAGGCTGAGATGGAAAAATATTTTGTTTCGGGTAAATTCGTCCGAATTTACAGTTCATGCAGTTCATTGGTATGTATTCAGGTTTACATCGCATCATGTTGAGATATTAAGGCATGGTGATTATTGGACACAGGGGGTGATCATTTTAAGAATTTGTTGATCCTTTTTTCTTCCTTCGACGGGATCCAAAGTTTGTTTTATTTTTTATTTAGGGGGGTGATCGCGGCGATTAAATTTCATTTCGACAACCCAAAATTCAATGGAAACTGGCCACTGTTCCGGTGTCTCCACTTTGGCTCCTTGGAGGTTAATCCGGGGAGCACAAAACAATGGTGATTGTCTCGGAACGTTTACAGCCTAATTATGTGAACACGGTCCGAGCACGGTGGACTAACAATGCTATAACTCGTAACAATGTACATTGTTCATTGTCCGAGGCCCGGGGCCCGTTTCTTCGCGTGTGCGTTCCTACCTGCACGACGCAGGTAAGCTCGTGCACGCACGTGCGTGAGACGCGCGCTCGGGATGCGGTCGCGAACGCACCCTGCCCTTTTGCGATCGACCGCATCGCGGGACTTCCGCATCGGTTTCCTCTCAGGATTCTCATCGGCATCGGAACATATCCCGAAAGCTTGCGATATGTCCATTGAGCACCTAATCGATGCATTTGTAATGTCAATTTTAATATGAATTAAACGATGTTTAAAAATTGTTAATTTGTTACATGTAGATTTTATCATGGATAAACGGACGGTACCTTGGCTTTAAACATGTAAAATAAATTTTAAATGTATCAAAGACATCTTAAAATCTTCAATTTCTAACGTAAAACTTATAACGGATGAAAATATTCCTTACAACTGATATTGGAAATGTAATGAAGGGTTAGAACATAACAAAAAAATTCATTTTAACCTTACGAAAGTTGTACTTTTAATTCCAATATTTCTCAATACGTGGAATTTTGCAATTTACTTATGACGTAATCGAACCTTTTCCCGAGAGAATTTACTCGGTGCCGTTTCCCTCACTGAACGTGAGAAATCATTCATTGCTCCTTAGGACAAGGATTTTCTCATAATCACAGGGGATAAAGGACATTTTTCTTCCCAAGCGCGTGCCATTTGTCGGGTGATTAGATTCAGTACTCTCCCTCATTATGCCGTCCACATTGTCGGAGTATAATTCACCTAAGTAATTCTGACGTCACGGTAAAATTTAGCACTTGCAAAATGACGGCGCTTTCTGCAAGATCGAGACTATAATCGGAGGATGAAAACCAAAATTACCATTCCATGCCATTTGCTCTTTACTAAGAGATATCCCGAGAATAAAAATTTATTAATCCAAAGAAATATTTTGTTAATCCAAAGCATTATTATTTCGCTCAAATAAACTCGAATAAATCTTCATAATTCTGCAGAAACGTTGCATCCAATTTATTCGAGTTTGAGGCAAATAATTATTCTTTAGACGAACAAAATATTTCTCCGTGTAGCGATTGGCAAAGTTGGTCTTGGTCTTGCAATCATGTAAAAAGTGCAAAAACCAAAACCACTATGGTCTCGCGTTTGCTCATCGCTAACCATGAGTGACGCCATGAAGACGCCTCGACTTCTTGCAGTACACGTGGCGGGCGCTATTAATTTCTCAGCTCCAGGAGTGCCGGGATTTCCGACGTTTACAGCCCCGTCTTAATTGCACATTTTCCATTCTCTTTTTCTTTGTTTGCCGCTCGGCGATTCCCCGAAAACCCGATCCTCGGCGGCCCTTTTTAGTGCCGACCGGTGGGGCTCGCTGTTTACACTCGACGTTCTTAAAACGAATGGTATACAGGTCGCGAAAGGAGAGGAAAAAAAAAAGATACGTCCCGTTGCGGGGCAGGATTGTCCGCAAGGACGAACCGCGACGTCGTAACGCGAAAACGCGCGCATGCGCGGCCGTACCCACGTAAGTGCGCGTAAGTGCGCGCGAGTGCGTGCGCGGAATATAGAAAAGCAGCCAGTCCTCTCTTGCCTTTCGTTTTTCCTTCGATGGGAGTCGGGCCTTGAGAAAATCTTCTTACCTCGATTCTCAATTTCATCATTGAGATCGCGATAGCGCAATCTTCTCGCGGGCCGCAACGGGCGTGCTAGACGAGTGCGCCAGGAAACGAGGGTTTTCTGGAGGATTATTCGGCTCACAAGTCCCAGAAGTGTCAGAAATCCCTAGATGAGAAACGACAAAGCCTTTAGGATCGGTCAGCTGAATTTGATAGGGACCCTAGGAACGGCTGCTTCGAAATGGATCCGTAATAACGGAGGACGCCCTCGTAAAACCCTCGCGTTTCGCAGCAATAAGGGACCGGACGCGAGGGAATAGTTTTTCGAGATTATTTTCCAAGATGGCCGACGTGTATGGTTGCCTTTCCATATATCGATCAGCCGGTCCGTGATGACGTCCTCGGGGCCGGCGTCAGTCAGCTGTCTCGGGTCGATCAACCTTTTAAAGGGACTTCTGGAGGGACTTGCAATTTAAATGCATCCTCTCTTTGAAGAAGATTGACTCTTTTTTTTTTTAAATATATTTTGAAGTTGTTTAATATTGTTTATTGTTATCTGGACAGGATTTTGTGCCGTTTCATTCGCGTGGTTAATGTGCAGAAATATTTCTTTTGAATTGTATGAAATGAGTATTTTGATAATTCAAAGAATAATTATTCGACCCAAGTAAATTGTCATAATTCCGAATAATCGTTCCATTCAATTTAATTGAGTTTATTCAAGTCGAATTATTATTCTATGATTTAACAAAATATTTCTTTGGTTCAGTGAAATTTTTGCTGAGAGGGGATTTGTTGTACCGAGGATTGTTTAAAGTCAAGTCATTGTCAGCGGGGAATAATTGTATTTTATGAATGTTCAATATACATTTCAGAATCTACTTTCCAGTCGTTAGGTCAGTTCGCGGATGTAATGGACTATGGAAAAATCCTTGATCGAGCACTCCGATCAACCAGGGCGAATCGTTTCCAGAGGTCTCGGAATTCAATCAAGCCTCATAAAGTGGTAAATTGGAAGCGGAGAGCAAATTCAATCTTTGGCAGCCTCGTGATGCCTCGCTGAAGATGCTCCGGCGTTATTACTATTTCACGCGGCGGTGATAAATCTCAATACGGTTACTTATTGGCACGTTTAATTTATCAGAAAATCTGGCCGCAGGCGTTTTTATAACAGGATTAGGTAATATTAACTCATGGTTGCAATATTTGAACAAACCCTTTATTGACGTGAAGATTTAAAAAAAAACCGCTTTTATTGAACACGTCTTTTTTTATAAGGTACTGTGAAAAAAATCCTGACTAATTTTCACGCTTCTGAGAGTATCTATTCTCCAGCATTTTTAAAGCAGAATTAAGAAACCTTGACTCGTGATTTCAATATTTAAAAACAAAATTTATTAACGTGAACATTTCTTAATGTCCGCCTTTGTT